GAATATTTTTGGAAAACGACCCAGAAATAATTATTAGGGTTTTGTCCATAATTTGAAGTTCCAAAACGTTGGGAAAAAATGTTTGCAAAACGTTTATGGAGGCGAGTGTTCCAATAACATTAATCTTATAATTCTTCACAGAAATTACCTGAAGATTGTCAGTATTTTAAGAAAAACTCAAAAATAATGCAATTTTTCCGTATCAAAACTCCGTTCCCATTCCAAAATCGACAAAACGGATTATTTTTCCAAATGAAAAGGGCGTTTGTTGCTTGTAGTTTTTTTAGTAGATTTCATCGCAAGCAGAAGATGTAAGACAGAAGAAGAGGCCGTTTGATGGTGATGATGACGAGCGTAAAGATAATGATAACGATTCGATGACACTCCCACATTTTCTCGCAGAAACATTTGTTCTACAGGCAAGCAGAGCTGCATAAGTAGCTGAAGGAGTGTCATATGTTGGGTATGGGATCAACACTAACTTTTACGCTTTTCTTGAGATTATACAATTGTTCTTTTAAGAAAAATAAAAAATTCCAACAACAAATCGAATGTGGAATCAATCGATATTCTTTGCTTCCTTGAGAAATAATTCTAAGAAAACATTGACAGTTTCTATTATCGTTTCCAGAGCCGACAATAGAAGAAATCCAATGTGTTTATAACACCTGCCTTAACTGAATCTCAAAAACTACAGAAAATGAGAGTTATTTTAAAGGAAGCAATTTTTTGGGCATAGTTGGATCACTTCGAATTGTGAGGAGTTATATTCCAAAGAAAACAATGCTTTTCTTGCATCATTTGGAACTTTTCACATTCGATTTAAACTTGTTTTTAATGCCCATCAACACGGATTCTGCTTTCATTACATCAAGCATTTTATCACGATTCCGTTGAACTTAATTCCATTTGATTGAACACATTCCGGGCTTCCAAAGAAAAAAATTGAGGGTTTATACATGTTTTTATACTTTGTCACATTGTGAAATCTGGATACGGGAATCAAACTTACAGGATGATTTTCCCAGTAAAGAGAATAGTGGCAATTTTCAACTCTGCTCAATGTTATTGAGTTTGTAAATTTATCGGTCAAAATAAGTGGTGAGTTAATGGATTCTACAGGCTTAATTTCCGCTGCCAATTTTAAGAGCATTCACAACGACTAAATCATTTGAGCATTTGGGAACGTGTTAACTTTTTCCCCAAATTTCGAAGTTATAAAAAATTGGCAAATTTTCTGAAAAGTGAAGCTGTGTATGTTATTGAGTAGATATTAATTTACCATGCGTTTAGACCTCAAAAGTATACCATTTGCACTGGTAAATGCGCAAACAATTGGAAAGTACCAAAAATGCGCTAATAACTAAGCTAAGTAGACCATATTTGAAGTAATCTTCCTGAGATTAATGCATGCAGAAGGTTCTGATATGCTTCGATGTAGAAATCATACTCTCAAGAAAAACCATTGAAGCTTTACAAGTTGCATTTATTGTTGTAAAA